CTGCATTCTGTTGCCCAGAGCGATGCTTGGCAGATAGTGGGTGCTTAGTGTATATGTTTGAAATGAATGGATACCTTATCTCACTCCATCCTCAACTAATAATCTAAGTAGGTATAATGAGGATACTGAGGCCCAGAGAAATGAAATGATACAGGAGAGGTCGTGTCATTAAGGATATGGACTCTGAGATCGGACTTTCTATGTTCAAATTTCTGTTTCTCCATTGAATTGCAGCCCTTTACTCAATGTTTCTAGGCTGGGGATTCCTCCCTGTCAAATAGAGTTATCAGTGGGAGCTCTCTTGAAGGGCCGTTATGAAAAATAAAGGAGATGATGAGGCATGTAAAGAATCCCACCTAGCACTTGGCACCCAGGAGGAGGTGCTCAGTAAAGACTAGTTACCCAAGGTCTCACGGGGAGGCCTGGTAAAAAACTCCAGAGTACCCAGATCTATGCCCAAACCCATGTCTTAAATGTTATCTTCTTTTACTTCCTCCAGTTTATAAATTTTATGAGGTCTTTTTTAATGGACTACAAGTTTTGCTTTTGTTATTTTTGGGGGGAGTCTGGGAGCAGTGCAGGATTTTGTTAACAAGGGGTATGTGGTGACTACTGGCCCAGGTAGGGGGAAAGAGGAGGGGAAAAAGAAGCCTGACCTTCTTGGCTCAGCCTCAGTCTTAATCATCCCCCTTCTAGATTCTCTCTCTGGTCACAGCAGACTTGATCAAGAACTGATACCATGGGGAAATGGCTTGGCCAAACCTTGGAGCCACCTTGGAAGCCTCCACGTCTAATCCACCTTTCTGATCACCCAGTTCACCCTCCATGCTGGCTATCAGAGTAAGCTTCCAAGGCACAAGCCACAATTCACACCAGCTCTCATTTCTCCCAACTGGGTTACCTTCCTAGGTCACTTCAATTCTCAAAGCCTCAGTCTTTCAATCTGGAAAAAAGATGATAATAATTGCACCTACTTCAAAGAACTGTTGTGTTTATCAAATGAGGAAAAAACTGTGCTATGTAAAGTATGTGACAGTGGCTGGCATATAGTGGTATTTCCCTCTTCTTTTATCCATCAGACCTCTTGACCCAACAAACTCCTATCCATCCATCAAAGCCCAACTCAAATGGTCCCTTATTTGTAAAGCTCTCTTGAACATTAAGATGATGTTATCTGACTCTTCCTCTATGGTCCCACTATACATTGTATTTGCATCACTGCTAGGTGACATTTACAATATTCAACAACTGGTTGGGTATGGATACTACCCCATCAAAAGGGAGGCTGGCCTTGATACTGAAGGGGATTAGGTGTCACTTTTTTCAGTTGCTGGATTGTGAGAGAGTCCAGAAGATTCCAGAGGAGGGAAGGGACGACTGGGTTGACTAGGGTGAGATGAGCTGAAGTGTGCAAGTATTTGTATATTTTAACAACCAGAGGAGGCACTAGTGCCCACAGACTCAATCTCAGCCCTAATTGCAGCACTGTTGCACTGTGTTTGGTAAGAGTGTGGTTTTTTGTCATCTCTCTTCTTTCCCAGGGCCTTGAACAGAGATGATAAAATGAAGATAAGGGGTGGGAGTGAAGGCTGTAAGGGGGTCCCTAAACCATCTTTTTGGGAACTTCCATTTGTATTTGGGCTCTGGCTAAGGAAGAAAGCCTCAGGTTACCTTTACTCCCCAATTAGGATCACAGCTAAGATTCAACCCCTAAATGTGCCAATTCATTAATGCATAAATGCAAATTGATATAATGCACCTGTCCCTGATTTTTTAAAGAGCTGTGCATATGAAATGCCTGCCACTGGTTGTAGCAGATGCCATGCAATAGAAGATCCTCATGTTTAGGGCCCTGCTTACCTGTAGGGCCTCAGATCTTGTCCCCAAATTTTATCTCAATCTCCAGCTCCAATCTTTACTTCCTTTTTTCACTGGTTCACTCTTACTTTTCAGGTAACTGATGCCTTCTGTGCCTAGCCCTAGCCCTAATCCCCTTCTCTGCCTGCTAACCTTCTACCCCATCTATGCATCCAGCATCAACTGTCATACATTATCTTTTACTGTTTTTAACTTATCTCTCTCCACCCCACCAGTGAGTAAGAAAGAAGAAGGCACAGCCTATTTCTTTCTTACTCATTGGATCTTGAAAACTGATCTGAGCCTGACCCTATATAGATGCTTAATAGATGTTGGTAGACTTAAATGAATGATTACATGGGTGTTTCAATGAAAGTGACTCTGCTGTCAGCTTTCACAGGGAGAAAAACTTGGGGCCAGGATGCTTGGAAACCTTTGGTCCAACCTAGAACTTTCTTCCATCTCTGCATTTGTAAGAGAGAAGCGGAAAAAGGGCCAAGCATGGGGAGATACTAAAAGGACCAGATAGGGGGATATTTGATGCTCTTCAAAACCATGCACCTTGAATCAGGTAGGAATGCCCATCTGGGTACCACGGCCAATTAGGATGGAAAGAGACTACTCTGAGAAGCAGCGGCCCTGGTTCTAGCCCCAGCTCAGCTTGACACTGACTTGCCTGGGCCTGGAACTATTACTACTGTTACTACTATTATCACCATTATTACCACTGCTATTATCACCACTACTGTTACCACTGCTATTTCTACACTTCTGCTGTAGTTAAGATCACTAGCAGTAAACATTATGTAGCATTTACCCCTTGCATGTTACTAAAGCTTTTACTTACATGAAGTCACTGAATTCTCATAACAATCTTATGAAAGTAGGTCTTATTATTACACTAATCTTGTAGATTTTGAAGAAACTGAGACACAGAGAGTTTACATAACTTGCCTAAGGATCCATGGCTGGTAAATGCAAAGCCAGGATCTGGAATGTTGTCATCATAACACTGGTGATATCTGCTGAGGTTTTCCTCTGTGCCGAGTTGGCTCAAAAGTTGTCTTTTGAAGAAGAGGCTGTTATTATCTACTTTGGTTTTTTAACAGTTGAGGAAACTACAACTCAGAAAGATTTAAAATAAATGCCCCTGTCTCAGAGCCAGTATTCGATCACAAAACAATAGTCCCAAGTTTTTTAACAACTCTGCCCCCCCATCCATGAAAGTCATTTCCTCTTTTGTCGATCTTAATTTTCCTTCTTGATAATCAGAGCATTGACCTAGATGAGCTTGTAAGGCCTCTACCTTCTAGGTAAAGGGAAGCCCTGGCTTTCAGTTTTTCTGATAGTAGCTGAACTCACAGGAAGCATCAAGTCAATATACCTCATAGTCATTAAGAATCCATGTGTTTTAGGAAAGCAAATCACCAATAGCCAATCTGGCAACCTCCCCATCTGGTATAGGAGGAGAGACCCAGCTCTTTGCCATATCTTGACAGACACAACCCCATTAGAAAACCATCCCAGGCAGGCAAGAAAGTCAGTTGTTCCCAATGGTACTTTTTAGATAAGGCCCACTTGGGGCCTCCAGAGGGGCTGCCACAAATTATGAGCAGTGAGATTAGGCAGCTTTTACTCACTTACAAACATTCCTCTACCTCTTAATGATCATATTTCAAATATATCCTTACTTTGCCACAATCTCTTTGGAAGACAAGTGGGATAATTATGCATATTTCTTACTTGAGAAAGCTGAGGCTGAGAGGTATACAATGATTAGTCCAGCGAGGCCAACAAAATACCCAGGCTTCTGGACTTTCTGTCATACTGGAAAGATCCCTTCTTAGTACATTTGGGGAAGAGAAAATGCAGGTGGACATTTGCCATCTGCTTGTAACCACAGGCCTCTCTACAAAGGAAGGTTCCAGGTAGGCGGAGGACTTGGGCAAAATTAGACCTGGGTGATACTGGCTGGTAAAGGAGAGTTTTCCAGAATGCATGCAGATAACTATTGTGCCAACCAGACCCACCTGCTCTTTGTCATTGTCTTCCCTCTCTTGACCTCCCTGCAAGCACCCCTGAGCTTTCCCTTACATCCCTCTCATCCTCTTTTAGAAGTCTGCTACCTGAAATTTCAAGTTCATGTGTACCTAGAGAAGATGTCTGTCCACTATGCCTCTCTCCTGTTTGTCTGTACATCCCTTTACAATCTACAAAAGTCCTTCACATTATCTTTTGGATATCCCCAAGAATCTCACATGGAAGTGCTATTACCTCAAGTTTACCAATGAGAAAATGGAGGTTAACTAACTCGCCTAAAGCCACACAGCTATGAAGTGGCCAAGCTAGAACTTGAATTCAGATCCATCTCTAAATCTCTTGCTTATGGTGTCAAACTGCCTGAAGTCAGTTTCTAGCTCCTCCTCACTGAGTTGGGGGAGGACTGCCTACTTCTATTCAATACCAGGTTGCTAAATTAGATTTGTTCTTGCCTTGGTTTGTGGCTTTACCCCAGACCTTAACTTTTCTGAAACTGGTTCTGTCCCATCTATAGAAGTAAGTGAGAGCAGTTGTCCCCTCAACTCCCGAGACCTGTGTGGATACATCAGAGGACACAGGTCAAGTACTCTGAGCTCCATGGAAGAAAATTCTCACATAAATTCAAGGTCTTGTTTATAAGTAGACTCAAATCCCAACTGCCAACCAATGCTGCTGGCCAGCTGAGAAAAAGGATGTAGCCTTTGTGTAAAAGCTGGAGGCCCCTTCCTTTCCTTCCCCCCTAATGAAACCTCCCACAGTGTTCACACATGTATCCTGTCGGTGTCACTCTAGAGATCAGTATTTATTTTTTAACAGTCCCCAAATTAAAAAAAAAGACAAAACAAAAAAACCAAAAAAACCAAAAAAAACACAAAACCCTGGGTATCTGAGTTTTTCTCCTCCAGTCTCCCAAGTTCCCAAGCCAAATGCTGTCAAAGGCTGGTAAATGATCATTTGGTTCACTGATAATGAGTTCTTGGAGCCAGTGGGATATTTTGTCCAAAATTGAATTAAAATGTAACATGTGCTGTCCTGAACTTGATCCTCCACCTCCCACAAGTGTCGTGGCCAAGGCTGGCAGAGAAGGCAGTGTGGATACTTACTACACCCCTGGCCGACAGGAAGCCAGGCATCTGGAGCGGCTGGCTGGACGGGCAGCTGGGCCGGGCCTCGGGGCTGTCCTTGCAGAGCATCTTGGAGCAGCGGCGGGAGTGCCTCCGGCGGGACTTCTGCCCTTCCTCGGGGGACCGGCCGCGGTGCCTGAGGGCAGAGAAGGGAAACCTGAGGGTCTTGTGAAGGGGGGCATGGCAGGGAGAGGGTGCAGGGACCAACGTGATCTGAGGACCCTAGAGTATATGTGGGGGCATTTGGATATATATTCATGCTCAATTTTGTCCCTGAGTTTCTATGTGTTTGTATGAAAGTGGGAATGTGTGTATATCCATCCAACCATCCACTCATCCATCTACTCATTCATTTCTTCATTCATTCCCTCATCTGTTCATTTCACAAATGCTCCTTCAAGTACCTGGCACTGTTTAACAGGCTGGGGAGGCAGCTGCAAAGAAAGAAAGAAAGAAACAAAACAAAACAGACTTCTGATTCAATTTACCACTCTTGGTGTGCCCCTGTGATTATCATGACTATGTGTATGTCTGGGTGTGTCCATCTGTGTTTCCATGTGTTTGGCTATAAATGTAACTGTGTATTTCTGCGTGTCTTTGTGTATGTGACTTGGCCATCTGTGAAACAGAGGCATCATATTGACTGCCACCCAAAACTTTGGTGAAAAAAAAATGGCTGACAAAAACGATAGGGATGCCTTCTGCAAGTTTGTCGGGTCTGGATCCGACTGCCTTGTCTGCAGCGGAAAACAAAGGCATGTCTGATGTGGAAAGGGTATATTTGGACTCTGCACACCCCCTTGGCTCTCTGAGCCACAGGAATAATAAAACAATACTTATGAACTTACATGCATTTATAAATTCCTCCTAAGGTGCTTTCACAGTCCTCTCTACAACTTGAAGACATAAACAGGGTATTACTTTTCCCCATTTCACAGGCGAAAGAGCTGAGGCTAAGAGACTTTTAGGGAACTGCCTGGGTCACATAACCTGAAAGTGGCAGAGCCAGGACCAGAGCATTTTTTTGCCCTTTCTAAGAAGTGGTGCCTCCTGTTTTTACTCTGGAGTGCCCCTCTCTGCTCTGGGCCTTCCAGAATTTTTTTTCTGCGAGGTGTGTGACCTGTGTGCCAACTGTTTGCTTCTATATTTGCTGCAGGGAGTCTCAGCCCAAACAGACCCTGAGGAACTTAGACAGCACCATCACTAGGAAATGGCCCAGCAGAAGGAGACCTGGGCCTGGCATCTGTGATGGTCGCCATTTCTCTCACAGGCAACTGCCAAGAACTGATTCAGCCTGGAGTGGTGGTGGAGGGCTCAGGCTGAGCCACGAAGACCTGAGTCCCTGTTCTAGCTCTGCCAGTCACTTCCTAGCTGTGTGACCTCACTCAGACCCCTTTGTACATCCACAAGCAGTTTTCTCAGCTGCAACAGGTCAGTGATGCTGTTTAACTCAGTGGGCCAATGCTCTCCAGAGAAAGGCCACCAGGGGCCCACCTGCAGTTGGACAAGTGTGTGTTGCTCCTTGCAACCACAGGGAAGTGTAATATGTCCCCGTAAGAGGGCATTAGAAAGAGCCTGTTATAGGATTTGTGCTAGGTGTTGTAGTAGGTGGCTTGAGATAGCATGTACAGAAATGGTCCCCAACCTTTTGGCACCAGGAATTGGTTTCATAGAAGACAATTTTTCCATGGACAGGGTGGTAGGATTTGATTCTAGTCTGCAAGCAATTGATTTATTATGGCTCTGTGCAATCAACCCTCTCTGCTAATGCTAATCTGTGCTGCTCCCAGCACTAGCATCACCACCTCAGCTCCACCTCAGATCATCAGGCATTAGGTTCTCATAAGGAGCCTGCACCCTGGATCCCCA